CAAGGGCAGGCGCGCCGGCCGCGGGGCCGGGGCAGCTCGCCGGCCAGGGGGGCTCGGGATGGGCCGCCAGGGCCCGGGGCCTGAGGAGCGAAGCCAGGGGGCCTCCGAGGCACCTGGCGGGACGGGCGCACAAAGGGGAGGACCCAGCGTGGCGCCGGATCCTTCTCTCCGGCCCTGGCACAACTGAAACCGATGCGGAGACCCACAGAACACCCCCCATCCCTGCCCCGTGAGGCCGCGGCCCTCTGATGCCACCAGCTCCCCCCGCGCGAAGGTGCCAACGCTAGGGTGGGTGTGTTACTCAGAGACGCCTTCCCACGGTTTCTCCCGGCACCAGTAATTCACAGCAGACAGAAACGTTCAAGTCCTTTGATGTGGGGAGAAGAGGTCCCTTTGTGGAACAGGTGGCATTTGAGGACCGCTCCTAGGCAGTCTAAACTCGCCTGACCTGTCCTGTTTGTCACTTTCCTGAGATGAGAAGAATGAAACCTGGACACCACCCCACCGCAGCTTATAGAGGAAAAAAGGAAAAACTACCCCATCTTGCTCTATCCGGATGTAGTAGGAAGCAAGGTGAATTTCCCTTATTTCCACCTATTCTACTGAAGGGGTTTTTGACTTTTCCTATTAAAAAATTATTCCTGTTGGCATTTGAGTGAAATAATTGGTATTAAGGCCATTTCACACCCAATTTATTTAAATCTGTTAAGAATGAAAAGATGCAGTAGACCACTAGGTCAGACACCATAAAGGTCAGCAGAAGTGGAAAACGGCTGGGAGTACAAAGATTATCTACTTAAAAACTTGTGCTTTGCTCCCATCTCATTATAACTACATGCCTCATACTGCAAGGATGAGCATGTACAAGGCACATAAAATGATACATAATAATGGTTTAAGGTGAATCACAACCTTTAATCTGAGATCAAAGTTATTTATATGCTTGAACAGAGATGAGGCCCTTAAGCCTGGCTACTGATTCCCTCTGTGAAAGATGACATGAGTGGAGCCATATTAAAATAGAGCCAGAGCAGCCATTTCAGAGGAATTGCCTTGCAGTCTTGTTTTAGCTTCCAAACTGGACCAAACTGCCAACATTCCAAGAAGTCAGTAAGGACAAAAATATCCCGTTTGTAGGGACTGATGAAATTGGACTTTGCTGATGACCAAATGGCTAACCAATTATGAAGTACAAACCTAGCCTTACCTCATCTAGCACTAATAAATTGTTCCTTAATACAACTTACCTCATCTTCCTCCCTTTTCCCTATAAAACCCAAGTGCCTCTCCTGTAATCGGGACACTATTTGGGTTTCTACCTGGATCTGTGCTCCCTAAATTGCAATTCTAATTGCCCAAATAAATATCTGCTGTTTGAATTCAGTGAATTTTTCCTCTGTCAACAGCTCTGAATTCAATCTAAATACTAATAAACTATTGGTGTAGGGGATTATTTGACCTCATCAAACATATTTTGTCATATCACGAAGCAAACTCGGAATCCAAAGACATTTTGTCAATGGTTTGAAAGTCTATCAAGTAATTTTGGAATCATCCTGGACTCTCTGTCTCTCATATCCTAGATCCAATCCATAAGTAAATCCTGTCAGCTCTACCTTCAGACTATATCCAGATTCTTCTCTCCAATTCTAGTGCCACCACTCTGGTCCCAGCCCCCATCAATTCTCACCTGGCTTACTTCACTACCCTCCTATCTGGTCTTAATGCCTCTACTCTTGCCTCTCATGTATGTTCTCAGTACAGTGACTACAGTATCCTTCTAGATAAGGCAGATCACATGACTTATTCTCAGAAACCTTCAGACTCCTCATTTCAGAGTAAAAGCCAACCTACATCCTCAGAAAGTCCTCAAGAACTTCTGTTAACCTCCTAATTCATCCTGCTCAGCCATACTAGCCTTCTTGCTTTTCCATGAACAGATCAAGCTGACTTCTAGACCTTTTCACCCTCTACCTGGAATTCTCTTCCCCATACATATTTGTATGGCTCACCCCTCACCTTCTTTAGGTCTTTGCTCAAGTTCACCTGGTCATCCTTTCTGACCACCATATTAAAAATAGCACTATTTATCTTTCCCTTCCCTATTTTCCTTCATTACACTTATCACTATCAGATATACTTGCTTCTTTTCTATCATTCTATCTCCGCACGCACACACACCCCACTCCCCCGCCACGTGTATGCTCCATAGAGGAGTACGGGCTTGGTATATCTCAAGTGCTTACACAGTCGTTGGCACATGGTAAATAGTAAATACTTTGTGAGTGAATGAATGAATAAATGAATGAATGAAGCAACAAAAAGATAAGCACCTTTGTCAATGTTCAAAACATTTACTTTGATAATTTAATAATCCATATAACTTTCTGTAATATCATCCACTGATTACCTCTCCCCCTTGTGTCTAAATTAAGTTCAAATTATGAAGTAATTTAAAAATGATTTTTAATTGCTTAACAAGTAGAAATACAATCAGTGACAATTATTAAGTAAAACATTAAACAACCCAATTACCTTTTTTTAAAGGTCACGATGAAATATTCCTTTCCTGTCAAATGAAAAGCTTCAGTTACTCTCTACACTACAAAAGCTTAACAGAATGTCAGTGTACATCACACCTATGTGTGGCACCTCTGGCAAAGACGTGTTGTTTCCTCTTCCCTACATCTGCTTAAGCACTCTTCTTTCTGGAACATCCTTTCTGCTCCTCACTGCTGAGGAAGCTTCTGCAGATGTCTTGAAGGTCTGGCTTAGTGACTACCTCCTAAAGCCTTGCTTGACCACTTTAACATACAAATTAAAGGTACAATGTGGTCATTTCGGAAAAATGACTGGTAAATTCTCAAAGCGTGAGGTCAACTTAAAAAAAATGCAAGCAGGTAGTACAGAACTGACATCTTAAGAAATAAACACACAAAATGGTTTCTAATGTGAACTGAAAAGACTATAGTAATAAAAAAAACAGTAATGCTATTTCACACTAAAATATCTAGTTGCAGAGAAAACAAAATCCTAGCCATGATTTTTTTTGTCTTAAAGAAAAATTTATATTTATAGAAAATTTTAAGTTTGGTAAGTAATTACCACTCAAAATTTTAGGGATGACATTTCTGGTCAAATAACATGAAACATATACACAAAAATAGTTTGACAAGCCCTTCTTAGTCTTCTAATTATGTGGTATTTTTTATTAGTCACAATGGGGGCCTCAACTTTTAAAAATTACATATGTAACACTAAATGTAGGAAACTGATAATTTAATGAATAACTAAAGTGAAGATACTTCCATATGAAATAAAAATTGTAAAGGGTTAAGGAAGATTACTCCTGAGTAGACTGTCTACATTATTTTTCGAAGAATATTACATTTACACAAATATATATAAAAAAGGACCAACATTATTAAAAATAAGTTTAATTCTATGCAAATATTTTCACATGATTCTCTTTCAACAGTAGATAATACAAGTCACATAAAAGTCTAAGCAGGTAAAAGGAATGGAAAAGGTTTCTTTTTAATAATTTCAAAGAAGTTAGGGTTTTGTTGTTGTTTTTTTTTATTCCAGCAATGTGCTGCTCTAATTAAAGCAGGACTATACATCTGAGTGAAATCCACCAAGAACTCTGCTGGTAAAATTTTTAATCTGTTTCATGATCAGTTTCCATTACTTTCTTCTAATCATCATAGACAAAGATCTCAGAAGTATTATATATTATTAGTGCCACGATAAGTGGCATTGACAGAAAAACTGGGGTATGACAGCTTTATTTATATTCATTTTCACTCCTAAAAAAATAAAACAGAATCATCTGTACAGTACAAACAAAATTAAAGAACTAATGCCATTCGGGAAACATACAAACAATAGTCAAGAGCTTTTCTATTTTTTCTAAATTCTTTTAATCTAAATATACGAATTCAATGTTAACTGGGAAACTGTGACACAGAATACATGATTTATATTTGCATTAACATGTATTTTATTCCTCTGTACATTTTTGCAAAATAGCACAAAAATACAAAGCAAACATATTTTCAACATGTAAAAGCAAAAAAGCATTTTTCAAATACATTTGTACTAGTAGATTTCTGGTCTCCTTTAGAAAACAAACTCAAGAATTCATTATCCTGAGTCTCTTCAAGGTCACTTGACGTTGTACAGTAATATCTTTAATTACATTTCCTCAAGACTTCTTCTAATAGCTTCTTCTAATTCCACATCTGCATTAAAAAACAGAGAATTTTAATATTTAGGGCAGAAAACTAATTAACATGTGCTTTATGTAAGTCTCATCAACTACGTCTGTCTTTTCAAGAAGGAAAGGAAATACAAACTGGAGAAACTTAGGATAACTTGGCAGTTTCTCCATCATAAAATTTGCGTATTTTAAAAATGAGAATCTGGATATAATCTCAAACTGAATTATATTATAAATGAGCTTAATGTGTTAAGTAACTTGCAAGTTATTTCCATTTAGAGATGTAGAAAGTCAACTAACTGCTAGAATCACTAACAAGTAATCACTAGATTCAATATTAAAAAAAAAAAAATCTATGCACTTATTTCCAAAAAGACTTGAGGTAATTAAGACTTAAAATAGAAACAGGTATTCACTCACAAGTGGAAGATAAAAACACCAACAACAACAAACACACAGATACAGATTAGATTGGTAAGGGAGGATGGGAGGAGGGCGAAAGGGTCAAGGGGCACATGCGTACAGCGACAGATGGTAATTAGTCCCTGGGTGGTGAATGTGATGTAGTCTACACAGAAACTGAAATACAACGATGTACACCTGAAATTTATATAAACCAATGTTACATCAATAAAGAAAAAAAAAAGAAAGAAATAGGTAAAACCATGAAA